TGGAAGGGAGCTCAGACCATCCAGCCCAACCCCCTGCCGGAGCAGGGGCACCCAGAGCACATCACACAGAACGTGTCCGGGCGGTTTGAATGTCTCCAGGGAAGGAGACTCCACAGCCTCCCTGGGCAGCCTGTCCCAGGGCTCTGTCACTCTCACAGGAACGAAGTTTTTGTTCAGCCTGGAGGAGAGGAAGCTCCGGGGAGACCTTAGGGCACCTTCCAGTGCCTGAAGGGGCTCCAGGAAAGCTGGGGAGGGACTTTTTACAGTGGCACGGAGTGATAAGATGAGGGGGGACAGTTTCAAGCTGAAAGAGGATAGATTTAGCTAAGATGTTGGGAATAACTTCTTTACAATGAGGGCAGTGAGACACTGGCACGGGCTGCCGAGAGAAGCTGTGACTGCCCTCTCCCTGGAAGTGTTCAAGGCCAGGCTGGATGGGGCTTGGAGCAGCCGGGTTTAGTGATAGGTGTCCCTGCCCTGTGTACAGGGGTTGGAACTAGATGGTCTTTAAGGTCCTTTCCAATCCAAACCGTTCTGTGAAATCTCCTCACCACTCCCCCAGTCCCTATTGCCCCAGCACAGCAGGAGGAGGCCAGAGCGTCAGAAGACAATCGAAATAAATAATATAGAAAACCTGGAAGGAAAGGTCTGAAACTCCTCAGGGGCTGCTGTCGTGTTCCTGCCTGCTCAGCCCGCCGTGTGGAGCCTGGGAACCATCCCGCCGGGCTGTGCCTCCCCTCCCGGGCTGTGCTGCTGGGGGCCGGGCAGAGACATCTCTGAGGGTAAAAACACAGTCCTCACTGCCTTGGCAACTGAGGGACGTTTCCTTCCTCCCCCAGTTCACCTCATGTGACTATAACCAAACACATATTTTTAAAGCTCCCAGGGATCTGAGTGTATCAGCACCGTGAATTCACCCACCGTGAATTTGCTTTAGAGAAGAAGCGACCCGGCTGGCGTCAAATGTGAAGGTTTGCATCCTCTCCCCGGCAAATCTTCAAACCCTCTGAAAAAACGACTTGAAATCAAGTATTAAATGGGGACATCTAGGGGAAAAACCCGACGGTGCAGCCACGCTGTGTAACGGCGCTGGTTTATCAGGGCTTTGTGGTAACCGCGTATCCATGCAAACCTCAGCGGCACCAGCACTGATCCCACCAGGCTGCGTGTTTTGCCCCGTGTCCGTGTCCCGTTGCCGAGGGCGGAGCCATGGGAAAAGTGCACTTACACCCCCCGTCCTGATGTGTAAGGCAAGCAAAGCTCAGGTTCTTGGTTTGAGAACATCTGGACTTGGTGATTTCTCATTAGTTCCCACTGCAGAGCGTGGGGCTGAGTCTTGCCTCTTGTCTTTGCTGTTAAGAACAAAAGAAGAAGAAGAAAAAACCCCAGTTTATCCTGGTCTGATCACCCCTCACATTTCTATTGGGAATTGCCTGATCCTGATGCTTGAAATACTATTTAAAACTCTGGTTCCTGGAACTTCGTGGCTGTATGAGAATTTCAGCTGTGATTCTTGAAGGAAGTTTCATGTTCCCCTTCTTCTTCCCTTCTCCTTGCTGAGTTGTAGGAAAAACAACAAATGAAAATGCAACCCAAGTATATCCCTGAAACAGAAAGAGGCTGAAAATAATTGAGCACTGTTTATCCACCTCATTTCACAGGGTTTGGATCTGAAGCAACGTGTGGATTTGGCAATACAACAGAACAGACCCTGATCAGAGCAACTACTTTCAGACCTCCATACATTTAATCAGAATTTTCCCAGTGTTTAACTATCTTGTTGGGTTTTTTAAGTTATGAGCCTTATAGATAATAGTGGGTTTTGTTTTATTTTACTAGGGCTGGGTGGGCATTGTACACACCCACAGAAACATTGCTTAGATGGAATTCCCAGAGATCATCCAGGCCAAATTCCCTCTTGGAGCAGGAATCCCACCAGCACTGGACCAGGTCAGACTGTCCAGCTGAGTTTTTCAAACCTCCCAGGATGAAGCAGACACAACCTCCCAGGGTTACCTGCCCCAGGGCAAATCTCCCCCCTTGGGGAGGGTTTTGGGCTTTTCCTACTGTCCCACTGGACCTCCTAAGCTGCTCCCAGGTCATTGCCCCTTGTTCTGTCACCTGCCTCCCTGATACGTGTCTGACCTCATCGTCCTTGTAATCGCCCTACAAGACCTGTGGACACATATTGGGAGTATCTGTCCTTATCAGGTGCTGTAAAGATATGGAATCCAAGATAAATCCTGTGCCAAAGGGCTTGCAGTGTAGGTAGATGCCCCACAGACTATTTGAGGGAAGGTTAATCAGATCAGAGAGGTGATTTCACTGCTGGCATAAATTTTGCAAACTCAAGTTACCTCTTTGAAAGCTTCTGAGCAATCTGATTCAGCACAGCAGTTTGAGGACTGTGGCGTCTTTTCTCCAGCACTTGACACCCTATAAGCAGATTTGCTATCTCTTGGCTTCCCACCCATTTCTTGCAGGAAGCTCATGGGTGTAAAAGCAAGTCAGCAAACAGGCTAATTATCTATTAATTACTTCCTCTTACTGTTTCTCTAGTGATAAATAAGAGAATACAAACTCCAGAAATTCAAAAAGCTTTGCAAATCTGCCCCAGACTTCCAGGAGACCCTCTGATCCTACAGAGGATCAGGAGCATCCCCACTGAGTCAACCATGACCACTTGGAGTCAGCACTGTCCTCGGCAGCACATGTTAGCAGGGCTGAGCTCCTGCTCAGCGTTACAACCCAAGGAGAAGGAACTGCTGACCTGACTGCACGACTACAGAGCTCCATGTTTTAAATGTTGGTTACACAGAGTCTGTCAACCAAAATAAGTCAGTGGAGTTAGGTTTTAATTAGTGTTTCTGGTATAGGTTAGGGGTAAGGAATAAAGAACACTTTCAGTGGTTATTGTTATGAATTGGACTTTTTCTGGGTTGGAAGAAAAATGGAGAAAAATGGGTGATAGACACTTTATATAAATGTACGAGCAGTTTGGCTTCCTAACAGCTAAACTGAACAAGAAACTGGGCATTCAAAAGCAGCCATAAAAGTCATAGTCAAAAGCTGTATCTCCCAGACACGTTGCACAGGACACTGTCAGTTATGGGAAACTAGAAACTTCAAAGCCCTGGCTAAGATGAAAAGCAAATTCCTGCAGTGGCTGCTGTGCAGGACCTCCTCAGCATGGACCAACAGACTTTGGGGTAACACTTGCCTGAGTCTGAGATTTGCATTACAGTTTAAATAAAATCCTTAAGTCTATGCTATCTTGAACATTTTAATCCTATTTGATGCTCTTGAGCACTGTAAGAATAATTTTTACTTGATTTTAGTACATATTATCCTTCAGTGCTGAATGGAAGGGGAGCCCTTGCCTCTGCATCTCAGGGGAATTCTTGAAAATGTGGGAAAAGCATTGAAGTCATGCAACAGAAGCTGCATCTGGTTCTAGGGCAGAATTTTCCTTCTGTGAAGGGTCATTGCCATGGTTCCAATTCTGTTTCACTGATCTTCCACAGCCAGCTGAAATGAAACTGAAATCTGGATGTTTTCTGCAGCATCTGCCTTTAGATGAAGTGCACTGCTTGTGGTCAGGAAGAAATGCTGTGGCACTGGCAGAGAATTTCCAGCTCCTGGATGTTAATAGAAAGAAACACCTGAACAGTAAATACTTGTAAAAATGAGATTGGCATTAATGTTCTAAAATTACAGGCCCTATGTGATGTTTTGAAATACACAGAATGCTACATCACTTAGGATTTAAAACCAGGGATTACAGCTCCCTGTACAAATATTGCACTTTAGATGTTACACAAATGCAACACTCTGTAATACTAATTAACCAGCAGCTTGGTTAATACTTATGCTTGGCAATACCCCAAAAAGCTTTCAGATACAGCATATGTCACCATATCCACCCTGCTCTTTCATGCCCTGGCTGCTCTGGAAGGTTACATGGCCTGGCTACTCCTGCATCCACCTCTGAAATGTGTTCAGCTCAAGAGACCATGCAGAGCCACTGAGACTGCATTGAAGAGACCCCTTTCCTCTTCCCCCTTCCATTGCCTCCTTTGCTGTTTGTGAGATAGAAAAGGGTCCAAGAGCCTATGAAACCTGTTTGATTGTACAGTATTTTCATCCTCTGCAGCCCGGCAGCATGCAAAGTCCCAAGGTCAGTACTTGCTAGTACTGTGCAAACATGATAACCAGGTGGTGGCACAATGAGCAGATAACGGATACAGGAAAAACCCAGGCTAGGGATGAAGGACGTCATCACAGCTGTGCCCAGCTTGTCATGTCACCCTTTCCATGAACCAAATGTGCTCCATGTTAGAAAGCAGATGGGTTTCTTGCCAGTAGTGACCTCCACACCAGGCTGTTTGCAACCCCCCATCCACTGGTTCACAGCTTCCCTACCTCCTGCCTGAAGTTCTTCAGTCTATTCCCATGTTTTTGCAAGCTCCCCTGGTGCTCCAGCTTGAAGGACTCCTCTTCCCATGGATTTACCCTGTTAGCAGAGATTTAGGGGTAGCAGAATCAGATCAGGCTGCAGATTTTTTAGAGCTGTTTGTGTCTGCAGTTAGGGAAGTTTAAGGTAAATGCTGGATCTGGAGGTTTGCCTCTTCCTCTGCACCAAAGAAAATTAAATAGGCCTAAAAATAATTGTTAATGTATCATGTGTCACATGTGGCACCTCTGAAAGGAAAATGGATTCTTATTCCAGTGTTTCTGGTGTGCTGGAAATGTCCTTCTTTCCTCCAGGGGTGAGATGGGAGAGAAGGAAGATGGAAAATTATGAGCACTTTAACAATGCCCTCTGTGCAGAAATCACATATTCCCCTTTCATATATCAGGCCATTTTACTAATAGTGTCTGTCGATTCCAAACACCATCTCTTGTCTGCTGCTGTGTTTTAATTGTCTGTGCAACCTGTCTGGGAGCAGTGGACATTTAAAATAAAATAAATCCTGCTAATTATAGCTCTCAGCTTTGTGCAGATGATGCCTGAGAGCTCACTGTTTTCCAGATCTGCAGTTTTACTGCTTTCTCCATTATGTGACTGACCTCAATAAGGACCAGACCATGCTGCTGTTTGACTTGCTGGACTGAAACATGAAGAGGAGGATTTGCTGTCCTGAATTCTATGTGGTCATGTGCATCCTCCTGTTCCATGAGATGCATATCCTGCTGGTTCTGAAGTCAGTACAGGGACGTCTGCACTGTCCAACAGTTCACTGGAGCTGATATTTAATCATGGCATGCAAGGGATGGAGAAGGTCCCTGGGTCTGGATGTGGCCACGATGCTGCTGCACAAAGAAGGAAAGCAGGGAAATGAGCAGTCCTCCTGCTAATACCAACCTTGCTCCTCTGGCATAAATCCATCCCTGAACCCATTCCCAGGCAGGAACTATCTAAACACACCTCCCAGGTCAGGCTATCCATCTTGGCAAGGAGTTCTCCAAAAAACAAGCCCTTGGTTGTGTGTATCTGTAGGGAAGGAGAGCAGAACATCTGTTTCCACCCATTGGTTCTTGCTGACTTGTAGGTGAAGCCTGTGCTGATACCCCAGCCTGGGCTGGGGAGAGACAGGGAAAAGCAGTGAGGACAGCAGGCTGCAGTGAGGGGGAGGGCTGGTAAAGCTCAACCCTGCTACTGGACATGTTCTGCAGCTCTGCTCTGACCCAGGCACCCAGCTGAGAACCAGCGCTCGGGGCTGGTGCCTATGGGACTTGGAGAGTCAACCATAGAACTCGGAGCGAACCATAGGACACAGCCCTGCAAGTCATTTGGCACATGGGAGGGGTGGGAAAGGACCTCACGAAGCAGTTTTGGAGCTTGGCTGGCTGCCTACAGCTCATCCCAGCACAGCCCAAACCCAGCCCAGCAGCCGCTGCTCCCTCCGCGCTCCACAGCAGGAAGCACCAGGGTTTTGGTATTTCCTGCAGGCACGACTAGCAGGAGGTCACCTTTATTCTCTGGACATGAACATTGGTTGGTATTCATTGTATTCTTTCCAAGCAGGAAATCAGTCTTTATCCTCTGTTTCTAAAGCTTTCTGCCCCAAAACAGAACCATCTTGAAAAGAAGCTCATCCACCAGCACGTGGGACCTGCCTTTCCACTGCTGGATGTAGAAGGGGATAATATGACTAAGTTCAATGAGTTTGAAGCCACAAGGTTTCTCTTCAAAATCCAGAAAGAACTTAAAATTATATTAAAGGACTTTCATATTTCCAGAGATGAGGTAAAATTAGAGAAATTACAGTCAAAAGAGAGGCCATGAAAATGCCCCTAAATTAAAAATTAATCTTTGGGATTAATTTTCACTGCTGCCTGCAGCCACTTCTCACTCAAGCCTGAGTTTCCCTGTTGACTTCAGGAGCAAGTCTTTGGTGACTTCTAAATTGAAAATGTTTCAACAGTAAGATGGGAACAGGGAAAAATAACTTTTGTTAGGTAAAGCAGGCACATTCCCCTGGCTGGGTACCCTGAGGGAAGGAGGTGGGCAGGACTGTCAGAAGTACCTTTATTTAAGTCATTTTCTTCTGAGTTTGCTTGTGGCCTCTCATTATTTTCCCAGCTCTGTGCAGTCCACTCTCAGAGCTGCTGGCCAGGGGGGCCACCTCAGCAGGATACACATTAACTTGCTCCTGGCTCCTTCTAGAAACATTACAAGTGCTGCACCTTGGCTCCTGCCTGTGCCAAAAGCAGTCATGGAGATGCTGGTGCCAGGTATGAGCCCTAGGGAAAGTTATTTCTTTTATAGAGCCCTTCATTTTGACATTAAACCAGCTCCAGGTTCCAAGGAGAGACTGTAGGGATCCCACCCATTGCTGCTGGTGGTGGGGAGCAGCTCCCTGCAGCCAGAAGCAGAACAAAGCCAGTAACATCACCTCCCCTCCAGCTCTGCATTGACAGAACACTTAAGGAGGTGCATGCACCCATCCCTTGCTGATTTGCTTTTGCCACCAACTCACCTTTATCCCTGTGTGCTCAGCTCTGCCCTTTCTCATCCCTCCCTGCTCTGCAGCACTCTCTGATGAACGACCACCCACAGCTCCACTGGGAAGGAATCGGTCACTGATAGACCAGACATCTCTGACCTCTGTCACATCTTCACATCAACCTCATGACTTCAGGATCTCAGCCTGCTCCAGGAGCACGTTTGGCAAGACAGCCATGAGAAACTGAGGGAGATCCCTTCTCTTCCTCCTCTTTCTGCTGCTGGGTTCCTGGGTTATTGTTTTTATTGATAATTCTCCTCCTCTATGTTTACCCACTAGTATCCTTGTCAATGACTTGTTACAGGCAGCTGTTGCATCTCTCCTGTAAGCCCTGCAGGGCTGGCAGCCTGTTTCCTGTGTGGTTTAGCAGCACAGTGAGGTATCAAAGCCTCCATCCTGCTCGGGGCCTGCGGATAGTTCTCTAATGCCCTCAGAGCAGTTTCCTGGAATAAGCTGTTTCAGCCCCAAGTTGCATTGATCTTGTCCTTTCATCTCAAGCCTTCCTGATTAAAAGGCTGCTTGAAGCCAGAGCAGCAAGGCTGTGCTGCAGCCACCGAGGCACCCTGCTCCCCCTGCCACACCACATCCCAGCTGTTGGGAATCACTCCAACATCTGCAAGTCATTACACATGGCAGGGAAACCACCAAGTGCCAGGGAGGTGCCCTATTAGCCTGTAACATGTTCGGGGTGAGCCAGAGGCAATCAGTTGAAACCAATTTCTCCTGAGTCAGTTGGGAAACTCGAGCAAGCTGGAGAAGGGAATGAGAGCCTGGACTCAGAGTCTTTCACCAAAATAACTGTTTACATTGGGTAAGGCTGCCTTGCTAAGCTAGGGAACCATCTTCTCTCCAAAATGAGCAATTAAACTACAGGGAATTGAAGATATTTGCAAGATACCAAGATACAGTCTCCTGTGGTGGCAAACAACAACAAAAAGAGGAAAGGGATCATGAATAGCTTCCCAGGAGGATCAGAAAGCTCCTAACACTCTGAGCAAGAACCCTTTACCCAGCTGGGAATAACATAGTCTTGCTTCTCCATCCCCCTGGGATGACAACTGGCAGGTAGAGGTACCACACCTGTAGAAAGCAGATGAACCCAAGTGCTGCAGTAAAGGCAGGGCCTGCCCAGTTTTCTCCATTTGATGTTGCCACAGCTCTGCCAAGGTGAGCACCAGAGATTGGTGTCTGAGGAGGAGGGGGGACTGATGCAACTTAGAGCTCAGCCCCACACATCTCCCCAGGGCTCCCCCCTGATGCCAATGTTACCTTCCCCCAGGTGGGGCCATTGCTGTGCCTTTGGATTTCACAACCAACCTCTTCTCTCCCCTGTTACTAGCTGGTTACTCCCAGTGCTGCCATTTTGCCACATCCAGAAGCACTCAAAGCCAGGCTGGTTTGAAGTGGGGCAGACTGGTCTCTCCAACACGGAGCCCCTCACCCTGGCAGCTTCCTGCTCCAGGCTTTCTGCTCCGCATCCCTGCCCGGGACAGGTCCCTGCATCCCTGCACCCCTGCATCCCCACATCCCCGCTACTGCCAGCAGCCCGGCGACAGGAAACACTGCTGCTTCGTTAACGAAACCACCTAATTAAGTCCATGCAAAGAGAAAGCAAGAGAGGCAGTTCAGTTTCCTTTGCTAAACGCTGACTGTTTAGCCTTTGGGCACGGCCATCGAGTGAATTTATTTCCCCCCCCCCCACCTTACACACAGGGCATCAGACCATCAAGCCTCCTCCAGCCTCGCTGCCATTAGAGCTCCCTAATGAAGCAGCACAGACACAGCATCAGGGACTAATTAGACTTGAAAATTCCAGTCTCCAAGCGCTGCCACTGACCTCCCCTGGAGCGACGTTTCTGCATCCCTGTGCAGCAGCATCCCAAGGAAATAAACCAAGCAGCTGAAGTCCCAGCTTTCCAGGGTGATTCAGAGAAAGGGAGAACACTACAAACCACTCTGTGCAGAGCTCAGTGCCTTTCCTATTAGTTACCTTGATACTTTTAGCCTGTTCTAGGCAGGACCAGCCACTCCCAGCCAGATGATGCCTACAGCACCCAGAGGGAGTTTCTGCACTGACTGGGGCTGTCGTCCCACCGTAAGAAGGAAAGCTTGGGGCCATGGTAAAGATAACGTCCATTAGTGCTGCCTTTGTAGCCAAGCACCAGGTATTAACACAGCACTGGCCCACAGGAGCACCGAGCAAGATGGGCATGTTGGCCAAGCTGGGATGCAGCTGTAGGCAGCAGAAAGAAGAGTTTGGTACAGGGCCTGGAGCAACATCCACCACAGGGCAGAAACCCCATGTGAGCAGTAGCATATTACACAAAGTCATAGAGTGAGATACAGTTCAATGAAATACAAATATAGGCATAACACACACATTATGTTCTATGTTAATTAGGAATGGAAACCAGGCAGTCCATCTAGGCACACCTCCATAAACCATGCATACCCTTCTGCCCTGAGCTTGTACGTTGTGGGGTGTGAAGCAGCACCTGATTTCACTGCTTGCAGGAGCAATGGAGAAAATTGCAGCTCTTGTGAACTTTTGACACAGAATCTACATCCTCGTGGGGTTCTGCTTAGGTCAACAGTGAGCACATTTCATACACCTAAAATGTGCTACAGCTGCAGCCATGACAGCTTGGTGTGGGGTGAGTGTGCACCCCTGTGACAACATGAGGCCAACAACCCTTGGACCACCTGACGAGCAACCACACTTTGGTCAACTAGAAGATGAAGAAAGTTCACATGTAATTTTATAAACCTGGTGTTTGAGGACATGATCTCTGAGAACTTCTCTGTCCATGCTGCAGTGTCTCACAGGTTAGAAATGGCTAAAAACAAACCTTTTACACCTATTATTTTACACACATACACACACAACCACAAAATAATGTATATATATATATATATATTCCTCTTACATGTTTGAGTATATTTCAAAAGTTAAAAAGTTCCAGGAAATTCACATGCTTTTTTTTTTTTTCATAATTAATGTAATAAATTCTACCATAAAATTATCCTAGGATAAAAAAAAACATAATTGAAATGTTTAGCTGTGATAACATTAGACCAAAGTGGCCTACAAAAAAAATTATTCCTGCTCCTCTGATACATTAGGTAGTTAATCAAGACTGTAAAAGTGGTGACCTGAATTAAGACAACGTGTCAGTTAATGTAATTACAGGACAATTACACAGATCCATTATTCTGCACTGTTCACTGAGGAACCAGGAGCACATCTGCAGGCAGCAGGAGCTGGGCACAGGGGAGGTTCATGCTGGATGTCTGAGCACATCTCCAGGCCCTGCATTCTCCATGGTTTGCACACCTTATTTGCAGGATAAAACGTTGTCACACATCAAAATTATTACCAAAACATGTCTCTAGGGTATCAGACAGGTAATGAAAAAGTTGTAGAGCTCCAACTCAAAGTTAAAAATCCCTCTTGAAGCAATTGAAAAACAACACTGAGTTTATTTCTTAAGGCATGGCATTTCCAGGATTACTTTTATTTTTTAAATGTGGGGGGAAGGGAGGAAGTTTCACTTTTTTTGTTTTCAAAACAGGAAATTTTGTACAGCATTTCTGAGAGAAGGTCATGATGGTTTGATCTCAGTGGTAAAAGACCTTCCCTGGGTTAAAAAAACCCCACATAATTTAACAATGATAATCTGCTTGTGCTTTGCAATTGATTAAAAAGCTGTGCACACACTATTTTGATATGTCAACCAAGAGACAGAGCTACATAAAATACAAAAATACATAATGCATTGTAAGTTACCTGATGTTCTCAGCATCTGTAAATCCTCCTACAATTCTTCACTGACTGAAGGAGCCAGGGAGGGAAAAAATGTTAAAAAGCATGTTTTACACAATGGGTAAATTTGATTCTAAAGGATTTTTTAAGTTACAGGGGTAAAAAAAAGATCATGTCAGTGATGCCCTTGTCCTTGTCCCACTGTGTGTTGGAGCTGTGACTTTTCTGTGTCAGTCCCAAATCTGGCACCATATCCCACAAACTATGAAATGTTGGTTACAGACAAACAAACCACATACAAAAAGCTTTACCATAAAAATGAAGATATTTATTCAAGAAGTACAAATTTGATGGTACCAGCCATCTTTGAAAGCCATTACCATGAGGCAGAGAGGACACAAACCAAAGTCTCTTGCTCAGAGCATATGAAAGCATCTTACAAATTGCCAGCTAACACAGTCATTTCAATCATTGCTCAAAAGCCACCTCCACTTTTTAAACATTCCCTGGACTTGAGAGGCACAAATAGGGTTTTTAATACAAGACCAGTTAGTTATTTTAATAAAGCCATCAGCTAAAATTTATTTTGTTTTAAATTTCCTTAAATTGCCTCCAGCCTTTGACTGGATTCAAATT